AACGTAAGATACATCCAAAAACTACAATGCCAAAATCAAACCCAATTTCAATTAGTTAATTCGACCTTACGTACGTACCCCATTGATAAATGGGTTTCGGGTTGCGAAATAGGTAAATAAAAGATAGGTAATTATATTAAAACAAATGGCATAACCTAAAAAGAAACATGTTAACAAAGAAAGAAATACTTTACCTGAGGAGGATACAGTCCTCCCTATTCGCGTAAATACGCTTAGATAATTAATTTAAACAATTTTAGCGTGATGACTCTGGAATTCTCCAATATATCTTTCGCAAAAATTTCAACGACAAAAGCAAAAGTAATATCCACGCAATAGCAATGGTACCAACTACTCCTAACACACTAAGAGCGCATTAAGTCAATCACTCAAACCAAGAGTAGGTACATTAAACAAAACAATGGGACGTTACACATGTTAGAGGCTGAGTGGATCCCCCGCGCGATAAAACATCGAAGGTGGTCTGACGGGTGCGAAAATCAAATCCATGTACTCTCACTTTGAAGTTTCGTGTCCTAATCACTACATCACTTCACTCGTGATATTTAAATACAAAATAAATGCGCACACAGCACAGTCAAGTACTGTGAACTACGAAATTTTATGTTAGAAATAATGTCTTAGATACGCCTTGACAAAGGATACCAAAATTCAGCTTCGTGAAATCTTATGCCTTTCCATTCAAAATCAGGCAAAAATAATAGCACATCTTTCAATGTCTCAGTTAATGGGTATGGAAATTTCCACTCTTGTTCTTGGAAAAACGATATGCTTCCTTATAAACGTGGTGATCTCTTTTCTATCATTTTATTTTATTTTTTTAAGTGGGCGGGGTTTCAACAGGGCTGCCGAGCCGAGCTTCCACAACACAGGTTGTCCCATTTAGAATTTTCAAGTTGGGAGTGTACCACTTTTGGGACACCCTGTATAAATAATATTACCAAATTTGAAGATTGTGAAAATGATTTAGACGGGGTCAGTCTTACACGTTCTTCAAAATTGTCACCATAAATACTATAAATAGGAAAACAAAAATTTTAAAAATTATATTTTCTTCCACATTAAAATCATTTAAGAACTTCAGCGGGATACTTTGTCTGGTGTAAATTGCGTCAGAAATATACTTCGTGTTAAACGTTTTCTTACGCTCATACCAGGTTGGATGTTTTACAAAACCAGCCAATATAATAAACATATCTGAAACAAACCCCACGAACCACGGAAAAACTACATACATTTTTGTGGTCTTTTATGTTTGTTTGATATTGTGTTATTTCAACCACAAGTAGTCTTGATAACATTGTGAATGTCATTTACGTGAGTCGATACTCCGAACGCTTACCTTTAAAACTCGTATTTCTCTGCCACTACCAAAACGAGTAAAAACACGCAGCTGTTGTAACGCGTTGGTAAACAATGCGTGCGCCTTTCGAAATCGTCGAGTTGTAATTCATGACTTACTTTGAAAGAGGCTAGGAGATTTTTGACTGTTTTTTTATTTCACGATACACTTGAGACACGATGGATAAGGAAGAAAAAAGCGTTGTCTCAATGAATTGCCGGCCCTTGTGGCGCAGTGGAGTGGAAGCTGAACTACAGTACTGAGGGTCCCTGGTTCGAATCCGGATTTGAGCGTGGATATTTGTAAGCGTATAGATGGTTTTACTTCAGGGTTGATCCTGTGTCGGAGGGTTGCTTTTTTAATTTTTAGTGGTGAAAGTAACTTTAGAATTGTAGATTCGGGCGTCTGGTCGATTGAAATCATCGTTCAATCAGTTGAATGAACGTCAAATTACATTAAGGGAAATAATTTATCATTTATTAACCAGTTTCGTCCTTAAAAGCCACCCCATACAGTAATTATAATTAAACAATATATCTTCAAAATGTTCTTTAACAAGCCAGGAGGGATCAAATATCACTGGTTTTTGTGAAAGTGTGGATTGGTAGATTCAACCTTTTAATCGAAGTCTTTAAATAAATATGGATTGATGTTCTGAGGGTTAAATTATGATGAATTGGAAATGTTCAACTCCTAAAAACCACTATATGAATTAAAAAATAATCATGAAAAATGTTGTGACTAAGTCAATAAAAAAAGAAAGCAACTGAGATTGCTTAATGAAGCAGCTCAGATTGAAGTTCTTGGCCAATTTGCCATAATCACTCAATGTCAACATTTAGTTTTTTTTGTTAATTATTGAATTTTTCTTAAATTGTCTTATATTGACTTTATTGGTACCACTGGAAACCTTTCCACGATGTGTCACAAGTATGTGGTTGCCATTAAGGTTTTTTGAAGAGGAGGGGGGGGGGGGTTGTCACTCATAAAGTCATTCTAGTTCCCCCTCGATACCGCCGAAACGGTTTTGCGCGATTTTCAATATCTTCTTTGGTTTGGAAAATATGACCGACTGCAAGTTTTAAAATTGACACCCTGTATGAGCTATCACGTAGCACACATCTCATCTTGCAGAAAGTTTGAGGACACTGTTACAGAAGCATTAAAAACATTCTGTTATTATTAGGACAAGGTAATTTCCAAAAAAATCTACGGAAAGACGCAAAAAAACAAGTGTTCTCTTTTCCGAAATTTTAAATCGCAATATAACTAATAGATGGCACCAAAGCGAGATCTGCGACTCTAGAAGAATCCAAACCGTCGACTTCACGCGAGAGGCGAAAACATAAACGGTCAAACGTATCAATTACGTATGCCCGCGAAGGTTCTTGGTGTAATAAAACACTTTCCGAAATTCCAACGGGAACGGCAACAGGGAAAAACGGGATTTTATGTTTTACCATTGAAAAGAAAAGTTTGTTGGAAAGGTAAAATAGAAAGCGATGGCCGATGATAGTTAATCTCAATGCCAAAAGTCTTGCTTGGACTGAGATTGTTAAATTTAAGTCCAGCGCGATCCAATATGGAAATGCCTTCCTATAGATCAATATGGTAAATGATAATTTACACCTACCTACTGTTTCACTTTTTGATCCGCGCATTTTGTTTATATGTATTCATAAATATTGTTATAGGAAATTTTATTTAATTTCCTTACGTAATTATTGCAACGAACTCATTTCTTGGAAAATTCGCAAATATGTACCAGCAACAACTATCACAATTTCTTATTTCATGATATTTCTAATCCGACTGCGCTTACGTTTTATAAATACAGTTCCGATAATTATTGCATTCATTATTAAAGGTGGACATTAAAACTCGTTATTATAGAGCTCTATAACCAAGTTATGCTGAAATCAAGGTTAACTATTTTAAACCATTTCAAGATATTAAACTGTGGGATCAAAGACAACAGGTTGAATATATTAACACCTATTAACTCATTACCGTTACCTACCATTTCTCAAATGATGGTTCATACTTTACATTAATTTAATTTCGCCTCGTTTTCTAGTTAGTATTTATTTACTTAATATAGTGTGTTTGGTTTACAAATTACAGAGTGCATTCGATCTACCTATATGGCATGTAGGATTTATGTTGAGAGAACAATATTGCCTTATAATCTGATCAATAGGTAAACAAGATAGAAACTCTTACTCCTTTATTATTATCTGGAAATCTTGCCACCGTCTTGTTTAACAGAAGGCAAACGATTGTCGAGCGGTAATGTAATTATTGTATGGCACACTGTATATTATACCTGTGAGTCTTGTGACAGCCATATCCAAATTTCCCATTACCTGCAACAAAACAAAAAAAAAACAAGGATATTGTCTAAACAGGACCATAGCCAGTGGGGGGGGGGGGGGGGGCAAGAGCGGACAAACCCGCTACTTTGCCCGCTCGTGAAAATTGCCTAATATGACGCATAGCATGATCAAATATACGAGAAAGGTGCTTAGTATTCGGAAATCGGAATCATGTCACCTATTAAAATTGGACAACTTAACGTTTGCGTATAAATTTGATTTGGTCTGTATAGGGTGGCCAACTGTTTGTTACAAATAATATTTCATAATCTACCATTTTCATAGTAAGTTTACGAGGTCAAGAAAAAAAGTTATCGGACCTAAACTCATCTTTCTAAATGGAACACCCTGTATATTTTAATCTAAACAGACAGAATACTAAATTCTATTTTCAAAACTATAGCACACCAGGGATATTTAAAAAAAGATTCAAGCGATTCAAAGAAATTCAAAAAAGATAAGAAAAGGTTCTAATAATAAAATAAAAAATAAAAATTTACACAATTTTTTAAATTTTTTTAAACACTTCTTTTTATTCTTTTTGAATTGACTCCATTTAAAAAACGATAAGTTTTTAACCGGACCCCATATACTTATTTTGAAAACAGCAGATTATGCAACAATGTAATAAACACATTTCTGATAACTTAATAAACAAAGAAATTATAGGCTTATGTATTTAAAAGTAAAAAAAAAATGTAAATTTAAGAAACTGTTTTAAGTTGAAAGATGGAGTTTAATAGTTTGTTTCTATTGTTAAATGAGCAAGGTCTATTGTGTGGTAACCCAGGTTGTAGGTACATAAATGGTATATATAGATTATTATCATTTTTACCACTTGCAACCCGTAGTATAAAAGAGGCTTACAAATGACCTCTCACTTTTCAGACAGATATGTGCATTTTGGATGTCTAGAAACCCAGATCTCCATGATCGTCAGTCCACCTGTCTGTGCACTTATTTTCTACCAAACCACTGAACCGAAAGTAGCTAAAGTTGGCACATGTGTTCTGTTGAAAAGCTTTTGAAAATGTGCATATTTTTTTATTTGCGTTATGCTTCCAAATTATGCGAACCGTATTTTCCAAAAAAACGAATTTCTACAGGGAGTGAAATTTCCACGGGACACAGCAAATCATTATTTCGTCCGCCCGCTCTGTAGATATGTTGGCCCGCTCTTATAAATCAGTCTAGCTAAGGCCCTGTGTCTGAATAAAAATGTTCAGCCAGATAGATTATCTGATTATATTTTTTTTTTACAGATGTAGAACGCAAGGAACAACAATGAAGAATTTCTACCACTCTTTTGTCACCTAAAACACATCATGGATTTAATTTCAAAAAATAAACCTTTCCATAAAGAAAATTTTTTTACAATGGACACAGCACCTATCGTCAGTCTTTTCAACATGGGCACACAACAACAAACGGCATCCGGTAACGAAACAATCAATCAAGTGTGGACGAAAGAACATTTCGATGAACTTAACGGGTTGGGTCAGAGAAAAAGTTACCTGAAAGCCAATCTCTGTTTAGATTTAAAACCTTTAAAAACCTCTTGGGCGAGCACAAATCATTACGAAAGGGATATTAACGGCAACGAGGATGAGGAGGACGAGGATGAAGGAGATTTTAAGCATGAAACGCAGGACACATCGCCGACGCCTACAACGCCTGATAAAGAAATCGTATCGCCTTCGCACCACGCGAGAAGGCCTATGAACGCGTTCCTAATTTTTTGCAAGAAACACCGCCCGATTGTACGCCAAAAATTTCCTCACTTAGAAAATCGGGGGGTGACTAGAATACTGGGGGAGTGGTGGGCGCTGCTTGAAACCGGTGAAAAGAGTTGCTACACAAACTTAGCTAAAGAGGTAAGTTTGGCATTCAATTGCGATTGTGTTTCTCACCGAACTTTCTCATTTATTAGAAAAACCTAAGCTAAACTGGTCATTAACCTCCATTTCGTTCTTTAATTATCTATAACATTACGTGAATCAACAAGATTGTAAACATTACCTTCCATCTAAAATATGCCGGAATGTGAGCTGATAAATAAATGAGTAAGGGGTTCAAACATACAATTAAATGTAATACTAATAAACGTATAATCGATGTTAATGATCCACTTTGTTTCATTGCAATTGCGTTGTGATTCATTGGTATGCATTTCCGTGCGTGTATTATTTGATTATTTCCATTTGTTTGTGTTTTTAATGTCATTAATTAGATAATACTGACAAATTCAAATCCAGAAAGCAATTTAATGTTGATTTCTGCCCTTGAAAGGCACATTACAATATTTTGAAAACAATCTTAAATATTCTAAAGAGTAACCTTTACAAATAGGTGTCTAAACCAACTGAACAAAATCAATTTTTGTCTGCTGTGAAATCTACAAAATATTACAAAATAAAGAAACCACAGGAAAGTATTTTACAAATGTGGTGCCTGTATCATTGTAAGGTGTTTATGCAGATAGCTTACATTAGGACTGTGGGAATATGAGGTAGACCCATAATCAATCTAGCTAACGAACTAATTGAGGACTTTGAAATTCAGAAACTTTACCATTTCCTTGTGAACACTCTAAATCCAACTTTCTCATTATCAAAGTGTTGCCCTTTCTTCGAATTAACATTACTGTTCAAAGGTATTTCTTAATTTCAAAAAACAAAGTCGCTACGATTTTTCAAAATGAGGATTGCTTATGGGGAATTATTTGGAAAAAATTAATAAGATGGCAACATTGACAAAAAACAAAAAGCGAATAGCCTTCAATGTAGAGGCACAGATCTACACATACACAGATTGCTAACCTTATGCATTGCATTGCTATTGCGGAGCAGTATAAACATGTATCGTTTAAAACACGAACATAGGGAAGGTTCTTAAAGAATCGTGAAGGTTTTTTGAAGTTGGCGGAAACTATTTGCGGCTTTAAAGGTCTTGACAGATTGCTAACTGCAAAGGCATACTTACAAACTATGTATATCTCTGCCATCATTAACGTTACACTCTTTACCACGCCGATAAGATATAAGATAGGGAGGTTATTTTCGAAAAGTTGATAGTTTTTCGAGTTGTAAGCACAAAACAAAACTGCTAAAAAATATCTTTTTCGTACTTCCGGGACTAAAGTAACAACTTCACTCCATTATGACAAGTACTGAAGTGTCACTTTTTGTCCCGCCGGGATTAAATTTAGACGAAAATCCCGGAAGGATGAACTTACTAACAAGGCAATTTCAGTAGGTTGTTCCACATTTTGTATGCGGTACTACTTCTTAAACGTATCGTACTGGTGCTCATATAGTTTTTTTGGATTTCGGTGGTATCAATTCTATACCTACTTTGGCTGCTTTTTATCAATATCAAATACACCTTTGTCACCCACCACCAAAATTATGACACGAGCAATGACAGTTTCCAAATTATTTTTGTTACCATAGCATAGGGATTGTCGTACCAACGTCAACGCAACGTTCCTATGGTAACTTGTTAAGCAGCGATTTTTTGAAAGAATGCGTTCTCTAGCTCCATACATATTAAGTGTTTCAGTTTCGGAAGTACGAAAAATATCGTATATACCTTGCGACTGAAGTAGTGGTCTTAATCCCTCAGGTAAATTATGGCCCTCCCTTCGGTCGGGCCATAAACTTTACCTTCGGGATTAAAAGTACTACTTCAGTCCCGTGGTATATAATATACTATTTCATTTTTTTTGTATTTTTTTCAATGTTGCGTCATGAAATTTTGTTAGCAAACCTCAGATTCGGATTCAGCACCCCAAAAAACATATAGAATCAAAGAAATCAAAACTACCCCACAACTTTCCTGGTAAAAATACAATTAAACTGGATTATATGCACACTTTACCGCTTTAAATAAAGTCACTAGATATAGAAAGTACCGCAATCATCCGCCATTTTTGGGCAAATTTGCTGCCAACTTAAAAAAATTGACAAATAAAATCTGAATAGCTGTAATTTTTTATAACCTAACTTTATAGTACTGTCATGTTTTATAAAAATATATACAGATATCTCCAAACAGGTGGTACAATCCCTAACATTAAAGTTACTAGCATCTGGTAACTTCCGCCATTTTTGGGCAAAAATCATACGTTCTCTCTCTAACACACGAGCCCAATGGATTGCGGTACTTTCTATATTTAGTGACTTTAGCTTTAAATTTTTTGCAGCGACATCTAATGCATAAATCCATAAGCGTCATATTACAGTTTTAAACGGTACATGTTTATACTGCTCCGCAATAGAGGGCGCTTTTAAGTATACCTAAATTTGTTTCCCAAAAAATACATAAGGTTAGCAATCTGTGTATGTGTAGATCTGTGGTAGAGGTTAACAAATGACATTGAAACAGCTAAAAATATACAGGGTGTTCTATTTTTAAAAAGTTATTTATTGACACTGTTAAAATAGGGCACCCTGTATATTCAAAAATAATTTCTACAGATGCGCAACCATCTATAGTTGCCATTTGGACACAAGCATGGGGTGAACAAATAAGCTGCCCATCAAAATTTAGCGCAACAATGGCATACGCTTTTACAATCGACGCCAAAAACAGCATCGTTTATTTCCTATTTTTCGTATTTAAAGTAGAGACCACCTCCATTAATCAATTCCATATCGTAGTTTCCCGGCGATACATGAAACACTGCTCCGTCGCCCGAATTGACAAACACATCCTCAAACCGAAATTACAGCATGTATATTTTTCACTACAGGGTGGCTCGCTCTTATCTCCGGCATTGTTTTAACCTAGAGAAACAATACCCCCTGCAGTTTGCAGTGCTGGAATTAGAAGTGATGGTGCGTACGGGGTGCCATTTATTTTATTATTAACACTGGAGATCGACATAGATAATCACTTTCTTTTCTCAAATTTGGTGGTAGTAGATACATTCAAAATCCCAATGCCCAGTATTTAGGAAATTTGTTCCATTATCTTACCCAATACTAATTTTATTTACTGTACCTAGCTTCTGTTATCTGTTTATTAATTATAGATTCAAATATAAAAAATAGCACACACTTTGGTCTTGTAATCTTATCACTCGCTGTTTATTTACCCAAATTAATTAATAATAATCTATCATTTATTAAAAAAGTATACCTTACATGCTTGTATCTGTTGGTTAAAGTTATACATATGTTGATTCTTAGCATACACATTCGGTTTTATCAAAATTTATATATATTTGTTTAAATTATGTGGCAATAAATCAAAAACTGTTCGTTCGAAGCCGATGATTCATTACTGTTAAGTTTATGGCACACTTTTCCTATGAGTAATAGTCATCGAAGTTGCAAGTCATAGATAAATTGTGGGTAAAAAACAAACATACAATTTGTGTTACTTATAACATAGCCTTTCTATTAAGACTTTGTTTTATTGATTTTCCTCCCTAATCTCTCGATTTGTTTCTTCAAACGTTTATACCTATTACATGTATTGGTCATACTGTCCTTAAAGAAGGCATTGGCAATAATTCATGTTTTATCTATTCTGTAGACACCTGCATCGTACGAACCGGAATGCTGTGAGGAATTTTAAATAATTTCTGTAAACCTTTAATACAAGGTCACTCTAGATGGCGTTACAAACTGTATTGTTTAAGGAATCGGAATGATCCTTACATGTAAAGTTATATGTACAATTTTTGTTATCTACTTTCAATTACTCCTAATAGCATTGTGTTAAAAAAATTTCAGATGCAACTGTCGCAAAACAATTTTTTTTGGTTACATTTCAAAAATGTTTTGATTCATATTTCGTTCATGAGTTTTCCCATCCCGTTCATGGTTGCAATAAAGCTACTATTTTGAACTAGTTTATTTGACAAAATAAAAATATTAGTTTAACTAACACCATGTTCCACCCTGTATAACCGTGACTTTAGTGATCACTTTATTTTTCTTTACAAAGCCCTAATCACATTTCATATTTCTAATCATTTGGGCCACATTAAAAAAAAATAAATGCAATGCAGACCATATAAAACGGTCTCGATGACTTCCCGAAGTGGTGGCAAAAAAGAAATTGATTTATAATTGCCGCAGGCGGAACTAATCGCGCCCAATAGTATGGGGGCTTTCGTATATCCCCTCCTTCACCTGCTACGAATTTATTCGCGATTCAGGTTAACAGTACTAGAGGCGCTGGTGTAATTTACACAGACATGTATATGTGGTAGCCGTTTGTAAACATTGGGTTATCCTTGCAGGCTTTTAAGTGAAATTGTACTAATTTGAATGTGAATTGAGTTTATTTATCCTGCCGCTTTTGAGACTTGAAAATATAACCCTTTCATCCTATCCCACCTGAAAGGCCTTTTTCTTAAGGAGTCGAGGCTGTTTTCAATTAGCTTGAACACACAATGAACTGAATTTCCCAATTACAAACAAAGATTCAATATCTAGCGCATTCGTACAACTTTACAACAACTCGCCGACATTTCCTTCTGTCGATTATGCTTTAAAACAGTCATACTGTTCATGGCACAATTACACTGACCACAATTTTAAACGCTCAGTATTTTCTGATGTGTCATGCTTTAATAAATGACGATTTAAATTTTTCTTACTATTTGTGGCATATCTATTCGCACAGAGTACACGTAATTTCCTTCAATTGTATGTAAGTTATGCTTATCGTGTGTAGCGCCATTGCATGGTTCACAAATCAAATGTTTGAGAAGGTTGTGTTTTGGTAGGTGACGCTTTAAGCGAACGTTAAATTGTAGAGTAATTGCACTGATAGCAGTGACAGAAGTTCAAAGTGGAGTGTGTCAAAAAATGACCTATATATCTCCTATTTTTTGGAGTGTAATTGCACTGTTCACAATTAAAGACTGCAGATATGCGTTAGACGATGATTAATTAAATTATCCTTATTATTGGTTGCATAATTTCACTGGTCACATTTAAAATTTTTAAAGTACCGTTGATAAGATCTGACGTTTTAAACTATCCTTGCTCTTTATGGTGGATTTACATGATTGCAAATAAAATTTTTGCAAGTGCATTTACTTTTACAGCCTTAAAAACTACAATATTGATTACGTTTGGTCATTGTAAATAAACAAAATGGCGGGCTTATACGACCAATAGTAATTACAATGCGCTGCCACCAGAGGTCTCACTGTTAATCTGAATCGCGAATGGGATTTCCGAAAAAACCTCGTGTCCGCTCTTCGTGCCGTCCCTCTGTTCCCAAGAGGTGGGGGGAGCGACTTCCTTAGCTTTGTTATGAATTTTATAGACCCTGATCACTGGAGGTGTTCTTTTAATCATTCTCCAAGCAAAATGATGCTGCTTTCAAATAACAAAGTTCGTTATTTTACTCAACTTGGCAGTAAATACAATTATTTGAATGCTCATGATATTTTAGTATTGCAACTTGAATATAATTACCTTTCTTTTTCCTTAGTACAAAGATGCGTTCTTCTCCGCCAATCCGGATTTCAAATGGTACAAACTTCCAGCGCCACCACTGCGAACACTAAACACACGTCCAATCAGTGTTTACAAAATTTCGTCGCCGTTAGCAAGCCCTACACACACAACTCCAACTTCTGCCGAATTTACTCCAGGCAAACTGGCAGATGAAACACAGTTGGGAAATTTGACATCGTTAATGCAAACTAACTGCTCCACAACTAAAACTCCAGATAGTCATAATACGTACGCAAGTGAAGCGATGGACACAAACTCATTCCTCAATAATAATAATAATAATAATGTCGATGTAGAAAATAATAGTGAAAAACATAAGCAATTGTTGATAACTCCAAGTACAGATACAATTACCACTTCTTTTCCACCCAAACCAATAAAAAAACGAAAATTTTACGAATTTAGTGAGAGTGACAATAATAACGTTGCACAGGATATTTTTGGAATCAAGTCGCAAGCAGAGGTTGATTATAATGAAAACACATTCATAAAAGACACACCTGACTGTGACCCGAACAATGGTTTCCACGAACCCGAAAACATGACACAGCAGGAGTTGATGAATAAGGTTGTGGATAGCATGTTTCCAGATAAAGGTGCTGGCATGGATGAAGAAACAAAAGATGAAACTAAGGAAACAAGAAAATCGGGTCGTTCTTGTAAGGGGCGTAGGTACGCCGAGTTTATGATGGAAGGCAAGCTACTAGGAACTAAGCAAATCAAACGATTCACACAATACAAACCTGATATTATCAATAAATTCGATAATGCTTTAAGTAATAAAATCGAACACTTGGTACACAACAAAACCGAAACAGCAACACCAAAATTAGACTTAAACGAAACTATCAAAAGATTAGCAGAACGCACCAATACCAAACTAGAAGATATCGGCGAAACATCCGACGGTGCCATAGTAAACAAGGCGTTAAAACGAAAACGGACAGAATCCGAAAACTCGGACGACACCAATCTACTCAAGCTACAGTCCGATTTCAATTTACATTTACGAATCGCCGAGCTTCCCAGTTTGAGCTACGAGGCATTCATGCAACGCAAGAAGGACAGTAAGAAGAGAAAGTCGATTCGTAGCAAATCCGAGTCGAGCATAACCAAGGCCAAAGTTACAAAGTTACCAAAAACCGAAAACGATTGCTTGGTCGGTTCGAAGAAGCGGAAAAATAAGAATAATATTATTCGATTGGAACCGCACGATTCCTATCCGAATGACGTGAGCAGTGACTTATTTGGTTTGGCCACTCTCGCCGAAGTGGCCGCCAATACTCAAAAAATCAATTAGTCATATTGTTAATTGTTTTACTTTTATGATGTAGCATTACTGCCTTTTTGAAGTGTAGCATAGTCTTCTTTGTGCAACTGTTTCTTTAACATCACAAATTTACATTTTAGGTTAGGAACAAAAAGCAATAAGACTAATACTAATCAAGAATTGTGTACGTGAGAAGTTTATCTTAGGGCACATATTCAAGGAATGGGCATTGATATTAAAATTTTTAACGGCAACTTAATTATGCTACATCATAAATATTCCTTTCTTAATTTATGCCTTTTTTAGAAATTGCTCCAAAATAAAGAAAATTGTAGAGCACAGCTTATGGTGCTTGAGAGGTGATTTGGTGAATGGGTAAGAGCATATTTGTGATTTAGGCATTATGAAAGTGTGTAAATACATTGTTTTTATCGTTAATTCTTGTATGTTTTTTGTATAGTGTTATTTGTTTTTTGTTTTTTTTTTATTAAGTTTGGTTATTATCTAATTAACTTGAAACCAAATGTTTATTCTAGTTTAATACAACATACTATTAACATTTTAATTATATATATATACATATGTTACAATGGCTATATATTTTATCTATATTATCTAATTGCAATAAGAAAAGTTTTATGATATGTTGATCTGTTAAGTAGATCTAAAAGTTGCGTAGTTTTTAAAGTAACTACTTCTATATTTATAGTCACTATTTTGCACTGTTTTAACAATTGCGTGGGCATTCTTTAAATTGTATTTCGGTTAAACCGATGTCCATGATTGAATCAATTAAAAACGACCAAACTGTTTATCAAATAGGCCTTGTAGATGTAGAAGTATAAATATTATATGTTAAAACTATATAATAATGTTTTTCCTAATATATTTATATTTTATACTAATATTTTAATCATGCTGTATCAAAATTTTGCAAAATCAAGGGAAATGGATCGTCAAGTTAAAAGTACAAAATACTATTTCACACGGTTGACCAATTTGCATAATCTTTCATTTTCCGTGATTTGTAACAATTGGAAGGTATAGAAGTGATGAAAGGATTGTGATAATGATATGCTTATAAAAGAAGTATTTTTGTAAAAGCAGATGGTTTAAGAAGAAATGATTATATTTACATTAGAAATGAGTATAGATGGTGCCTTTTATTTATTTTAATTATATTATGCATTTTAGAGAACAGTTGAATGTATGAAATTTATCAGCATTTGTACTAAATAAAGATTTTTAAAGTTATGGTGTACTTTCGGAGGGGTACCCATTGGATCACGATGAACTATTGGCTGTGTCAGTTTAAACATTCATATTTATTAAAAATTAACAGTATTTCAAAAAAATTCCCTCTTGTATCGCTTTACACACTGTCCAAGATAAGAATGGGGATTTTGAAAACGATAAAAGATAAAGACCGATTTAAATTAGAAAAAAAGTTGCACTATTTAGAGTATTATTAGTTTTAACAACTGCTTTCAACAAAACTCATGAAATGTACATACTGGAGCATTTGTCACGGAGGTTTCCTGAAAGATGGATTGAAACTCACAGTGAAGCTTGGCTAGTTCGTCCACCAGATTAGAGCCCCTTAGACTTTTTCCTATAGGGTTATGTAAAATATCAAAAATCAAGTGTTTTGAAAATGAAGATCAGCAGTAGTTAACACAATCTCCTCAAAAAAGTTTTAAATTCAACTGTACAAAGAGAAAAATATTGGGAATTTATTAACACTTTCAATTATCTTTGAATTCTTTTCCCAACGCCTACCTACTACAAATTAAGAACACACAAAAGTATTAAAATTTATTTGTCTTTGTTTTTTTGGCTTTAGAAGCATATTATACGTCGTTGAATTTGTAATTAAAAAATGCTACATATAGAAGGTGTTTCGATTTTTGTGGTTATGCAAAAATTTAAAAAATAAATTATCCAAATAAATTGCAATTTTTGGAAAATTTTGAAAACGATGAACAATCATGAATTTCTGCAATCAGCGTGTAAACATAGTCTAAAATTTTTTTAATTTAAAGCACCCTGTATCTTACCCTTTTTATTTTTTTAATTTTTATATATTGTCTCTTTTGTTCTGGGCGTCGATTCCCGAAGATGTGCTTTGTTCACATCGACTGACCTTGATGTGAATGTGACTGCATTCTCGTCTCTCGAACCTACCACATCGAGTCATAAGTTGATCGAAAGCAACGACTGGTCTAGATCACTCGTTGCGTGAAAGTCATGCGCAGTTGCAGCTGTTTTGCTTTTGTATGCAGTCGTACAAACTCTTTTAACAATTGTTTCTGGGCGCCAGTCATTGCCCTATTTCTTATTTTAGTATCCATAATGCAAAAACAAAACAAAATACAAAACTGACAAATGACAGTTCAATTCTTGTCTGTGATTGGTTAGCTCCAACGAATAGAGTTAACTCAAAAAGTTTGTCCACGATTCGGGAATGCAGCTAAACTTGAACTTATCCCTATACGATAGGATATTTTCCATAATAAGGTAGCATTCCATTGTTTTTATTTCAGAAAACAAATGAATAACAAAAAACAATTGAATTTTTTTAAATATAGCAAATCACACTTTCATTATTTGATATTTTTTTTCTCTTTTCAATGACGTAATACGTTAGCACCCGTGTAGAAGAAATTAATTCTTATTTTATTTCAAGCTTTTTGTAATAGGTTATGCCACTGCCTTGCAGAATCTTAATAGTGCACATTTTGAATGCGATATAAACCAATTTACTGCCAATTTCGTTTTGTCTAAAGGTTTAATAAGAAACGGACAAGTTCTTTGCTTTATTTTAATGTAGGATATCTGAATTAATGATATTGATCTAATTATTTTTTTGAAAAATTTGCTTGAATAAGGGTAGGTACTACTAACATGCTATCATCCAAAAGAGAAAAAAAACCTCTTATCAAATGAGCACCATAAAAAGGTTTTTTCAAAGAATAACATCATACATTAGTTAAGAGATGTACAACTCTCAGGTGTGCGTTTATCGTTTGGTTAGACAGATGTTCTGACGTTCTGTACAAGCTTTCCATTTATTCATAAAACATTTATAAGCAAAAAGGAATTAAAATAATTTAATTATACCATATAGGGCAGCAGCAACAAAACCTGTATACTGTAAAATTAAAGCTGTAGATGCAATTACACAAAGTTTAATACCAATTTTATACGAATCATAATTTATACATCTTTATTTATAAAATTCATGTTCACTTTCATCCTTTTTAATGTTGTTCTTGTAACCCTTCTCGAAATCTTTTGGGAGAACTATGTAGCGATTCTCACGAACTGCATGCATCCCTGCTTCTTGACAAATGGCGTTTATGTCGGCACCAGAAATTCTATCAGGACGAGCTACATAATCTTCCAAGTCGACCTTAAAAATAAATAAGATGAAACAATGTCTATACTAATACAAAACTGATATAAAATACAGTATGCTGTTATTGTTAAGAGGTACAGTCAATTAAATTAGCTAATATGATGCGGGGTTGCAATGGTCAAATGAGAAAAACAAGTTAGGATCAGGTTATCTAGATATTCAACAAAATAGTTCTTGGATGTTTAATTCTCTGTAGTTTCAGCATTTATTTTGTTTCAAGTTATGTAAAAATATAAGAGTATTTAAAAAAGGTTGTTTTGTTGAATATTTCCATAAACTAAAGCTCAATTGTTTCCTTAATTATCCAATCATTGTAATCCATGTTTATTTGGTAATTTATTTAACAGACTATAGCTCCAACAATAAGTTAGCACTAGTGTCAGATTTGTTTGAAACTAGTAATGATAAAAAATTTCAAAAAAACAATTGATTAAAAACTAAAGAGCAAAAAGACAAATGCAAGTTGTTATTGCTACTAGTAGTTAGTTAATGCTCAAATTTTACCCCCCTACCCTCCCTGCCCATTGTGTTATAAACCCATACCTACCTCTTCAGATAAATTCATGTTTGTTGTAATTGTGCTAAAAATTAACCGTTTTTGGCGACGATCTGGCAAAGGGAATTCAATTTTTCTATCTAATCTACCAGGACGTAACAATGCAGGATCCAGGGTATCTGCACGATTGGTAGCCATAATGACCTGAATAAAAAATTCAAATTACTAACCCTAGTAGAAAGCTTCAAGAATGCACGTTACTTTAACATTTGTGGTTTGATCAAATCCATCCATTTGATTTAACAGTTCCAATAGAATTCGCTGAACTTCACGATCTGCTCCAGTTTGCGCATCAAAACGTTTGGTGGCGATTGCGTCAATTTCATCGATGAATATAATCGCAGGCGCATTTTCCTTGGCCAGACGGAACACGTCTCGTACCATACGAGGCCCCTCACCTAGGTATTTTTGTACAAACTCGGAACCAACGACACGTATGAAGGCGGCGGTAGTATGATGAGCAACAGCTTTCGCAAGCATAGTTTTCCCACACCCTGGTGGTCCGTACATTAAGACACCTCGAGGGGGATCGATGCCAATTTGTTTGTATAACTCAAAGTGAGTTAGAGGAAGTTCGACCGCTTCCCTTATCTCCTGCTTCTGCATATCCATACCACCGATATCGCTGTACTGTACATCCGGTTTCTCATCGGCTTGCAGCATGCTAATCGAAGAGTCTGCTTCTGGAGGTAACACGTCAACAAGAGCATTACTATGTTTATGTAATGCAACACTCGCAGAAGGTTTCAACAGTTCGCGATCAATTGTCGACAGTATTCTCACGTAGTAATTTGAGCCAGTTGTTGAACCAACAATACCTGTGTTCTGATCGACAGCTTCCAGAAACTGACCGATGACAAGCGGTACAGATTGAATACGCTTCACTTCTTCCTGAGCGTGCAAATATTCCTTCTTCAGATTACGTTGCTCATCCTTGATGTACTCCTCTTGCACCTCTAAAAACTCGAGCAACTGCTGCAGTTTCTTGTATTTCGTATACAGATCCTCAACATCCAGGTCTTGCAACGTTTGTTTGTGTTCGGCAGGACTGCCTTCATCCTGGTTTGTTAACAATGGCATTACATGACAATTTTAAACAAAAGACAATAAATCATTGAATCTTTGCTTATGTGATAAAAATTAAGAAGGGGGCTGTACTCTTTTATTTACTTACTTTTTCACTTAAAATTGCTTCTAATCCTTCCATTACAAAATTACAACCCAAATACGCGAATGACTTGTAATTCTAGAAAAGAATCAAAACTAAGGTTAGTTTAGAACTAAATCCATGGCTGGCAATAGTCTTGAAATCCCTAAAAACAAGCACCATATAAAGGCGTTTTTACACAAGTAGTACTAACGACGGATTTACGCGCAATTTTTAGACCAGAAAAAGATTTCGATATTAGACCCCTTCGTTTCGCTAAGCCCATACCATTAAAAACGTTAAAGACGAATAAGATTTGCTAAGTTGTAAACGTTTTTGGGTTAGTGTTACAACTGTGAGTATAAGTGTTCGCTATATTGCAACAAAAATGCTTGGACGGCGACGTGCACTATTGGACTGTAATAACAATTTTACATTCAACTGGCGCTCATTTTAGCCAGTGTCATAATTCATAAAGAACGTCGACACATCGCTATTGTAAGATGGACAAAGTTTAAAACTGATTCAGCTGCAATTTCCATGAATGATGAAGAGAAGAAAACCCGAATCGCAGGAAGAAATGAGTTTACGGCATTTTGAGTATGCGAAAAACCGAAGGAGAATTTGTAGATTTGTAGACCATGAATGACAAGTGTTTCTAATTTAAATACCCACCTACAACATCAATTTGGACGTATTAGAGCCCCTTTTTACGAGAGGTTTTTGAAGCGCGGCAGAGTGGTTTGGCGCCTCTGGTAACGAAACATTGCTTTCAAGTTTCATACATATTTCTGTAGTGATATTTTATATAAAACTAAGCTTGTTGTGTTTAAGATTGTTATTACTGACATAGTAATGAGCGTAATGGAGTTGGGGTTCGACCTTTGAAGGAAGGCGAAGCCTTATTAGACTAAACTTGTGTGGTAAAAGCCGTCGGTTGTAGCACTGTGTGGAAAACTCCAAAATTATAACAGAAATTGTATTCTGGAGCTTTTGTGTTAAAACATTTTTATCATAAATATCTCGTAATCTCGCTCTCGATGATTTGAAATTTGGTCCAAAAAAATATAAATGTGTAATAAATTTCAGTTCTTACTCATCTGAGAAATAAAGCTAATTTCTCGTCAGGAGGAATGGATTTCCGCATAACCGTATCTTTTTTTAGAGAAAATTTCCACTCTGCAGCGTTTCAAAAAGGCATCGGGAGAAGGAGCTCAGAATTAACATAATATAAAGTACAAATTAAAGTGGTGCACAAATCGAAAAAACAAAGCATGCGTTGCGTCTGGGTCCGCCAGCGACGTTACTACACGCGGCGAAAAAATTCCGTGCTCGAGCAATCCTATATGATATATATAGCATCCTTGGGTCTTATCAATTGGTTTACTACAATAAACAACAATAGGTTAGTTAGTTGTAACGTCAACTTTATGTTGCTTCCAAACAATAGTTATTTACATTATTAGTGCGGAAACAGTTATTTTGCAGATGAGCGCGAAGTTTGGCGGCGCGAGTGCGCAACGCGCACGAGCGACGCATCTCGCGCGAATCAAGCAAATACTGTTCACGCACGTAACATGTATTCTATTTTTTGCACGGATTAGTTAAATCGAATTTAATTTCGAATCCTTTTCGCGAGATTTTTGCGACATTATAATTCTTTTGAAAAAATCAAGTCCTCTATGCCGATAAAGTAGATATCTAGAAATTTAAAATGTCAATTTATTGTTCAAAACTTCTGCTTTAAGCTTATTTTTGCTCCTATACTACAGGGAATGATGTAAAGTGTATTATATTTTCTTTTTTACTCTTCCATCATACTACTTATTAATTTATGATCCGCACTAAATAGATAATTTCGTTGAATTTTTAGGCACTAGTGCGCGAAAGTAGATAGTCAATTATAAAATTGACGTTCCCGACTTTCGTGTTTTATTGGGAAAACGCGATTTAGAACGAAGGAGTGCAAAAAACATATTTCAAATAGGTACTTAAAACGAATACCTACAATTACCTATTTGTTATACAAATTCAACAAATGCTACTTGAGGAAAATACGCCGTTTAGCAGTGCCAATTAAAGGCTCGTCGTATGTGCAGACCTAGATTTTTAAAAGTCTAAGAGTCTTCACGGACGTTTCTGCGATTCAAAATCGCCAAAAAAGCGCTCCATTGTTGATATCGTCGGTGCATCGGGCAGTCTGCCCCCTCCCCCTTTGGACATACCTACCGCCTTCTGCGTTAAAGCAATTCTAAGATATATTTATTTAGATAACACGCATAACAATGATTGATAAATTTGAATCAGTAGCTAAGGAGCTTTCATCCAAGTGCGCTTTTACACAGTCTCGTGAAGTTCAAGATGAGAATACTTTTGAGCATGTGGAGCAATGTCCTCGAGGCCTCGACAAAAATTTAAAATTAACGTGCTTTTTGTTACACTAGAATCTAGATGCGTACATTTATTATCTATTACGTCTAGATTTAAAGATTTTTTTAAAAATAAACAACAAATTTATTTGTTTAACAAGTGAAGATATTTTAAACGCAAACGAAAAGGAGAACCTTAATTGTATAGAAGTTTTAATAATTTTATCAATATATTATAGAAAAGATATAGTATAGATACAGATATTTTAGATGAATATAAGAATTTTTGTTCGTTTTTTTTTAAAGAACTGTCTAAAGAAAATAGCGTCAGTACTGAAGAACTATTACCACTAATAATTGCGAATCATCTAGAATATTTTTAACCATAGGGACTAAGTAATGCCGAAAGAAACGTTTAAAACAAATTAAGACATATGCCAGGTCAACAATGCCCGAAAACTGATTATCAATTTTAAGTATTGAAGCTGATTACGCGAAAAAATTAGAATGTAACCTTATATTAGATAAATTTAAAAACATTAAAACAAAACGTAAGTATCTTGTTGTAATTTATAAAAAAACTTTGTGTGTAGGTACTTAAATACAAATACACCTGTATCAGCGTATTATACTCATCGCCTATGTTATGAAATGAAATAAATTGCATATTATAAAATATTACTTACATTATTTTTAAATTACATAGAAAGTAAGAATAATTTTTTCACAAATTGCGATTGAGGTAAAAATGTAAAATATAACGAACAAAGTTACTACTTGGCAAAAAGCACCGTGCCGCCGCTCCGTCCAAACGTACTGCCCCCTCCGCTTTCACAAGCTGAGCTGGGTACGCCACTGGGTGTTTGAATGCACTCTGCAAAAAGAAAAGATCAATGATAGACATAGTATGATTTTTGGAGATACTGGACTGATACTCCTTTCCATACGGCTAACCGGTGCGTGCTGAAAGAAGCAGTATTAATACTAAAGAGCATTTAATTAATAAAATTCTCTATTTACCTGTGTTTGTTGGTTTAAAATTGCCAATAATGTGTTATTATTTTTGTTACCGAAAATAAAGCCATGGATTCCAAATGTGGAGAATGTATCAGATGGGAGAAGGTACTAACGCGACAGATTTACGTTTGACCCGCGATCCGTGGAAAATGGCCGAGCATTCTCAATTTGCCTGAATTTCGGACATTTTGCGAATTTCCTAAAGAGGAACAGGCAAAGTGCAAACTCGAGCTCCATTTCTGTTTTCCTGCGACGCAAATTTTGCAAAATGCGGATTTCGCAGTTTGCCGGTAACATTATGTGTTGACTGAAAAACTACCGCTGTGGAAAATGGGTTGCCTAACCGCCTGTAACTTAAAAACAGAATTGTTCGATTGCCACTTACGAAGGTTGAAAAATTTTACATATTTATATTATGGAAAATATGAACACAATAGGTTTAGTGACGATAAGAATTTTTGTTTATATAAGTTTGTATAAATTCACCCTACAACAGCTTACCTATTAGACCTGTTGCATGTTGTTGGTTTTAAACTCGTAAGAATGGGAAGTTTTTTAATTGACGTTTTGAGCAAACCTTTAATACAGGATTATTTATTTTGTTTGCATGTAGGAACATTTTCTTTGTATTAAATGTATGCAACGTTTATCTGTGGGTTGTATCTAGGTGCAGTCACTGCAATGAGTATGCCGAGGTCTGTGCAGTGAGGCATAGCAAAATATAAAGAAAAAATATAATTTATTGATGATACAAAGATACAATTAGCTACATATAAATATACAGGTAGATGCGGACAGAATGGCCGCTAGTTTTGTGCCGAGCACTCGTCAGCTATGGTAATGAAATATAAATAATAAGTTACATATAAATATAATAAAATAATTACATAACATAAACGTATTGAAATGAAAAAACACACAATATTAAATAAAAGTATTAAATAACAAAAATCAAGTATTTTTTCCAATGGTCACAAGGCACACGAATGATGAGCAGTTAAAATAAAAAATAAATAAATAAACTTCGTTCGCGGAATGTTACAAGGTATCAAATGGAGACTGATGACTTTTATACAACCTAAGTCTACTTGCACATTTTCACAGGGTCTCCATTAACATTCGTATAAAAACACGCCTCTTCTTAAACATACAATATAATATAATAATAATAATTAAAAAATCACACAATATCAAAATCACTCCGCAAAAGCGGAATTCTATAATATAACATAAATAGACACTGTTAATTTAAATAAATCGTCTTGAGTAATGGCTTTTCAACCCACCAAGTGCGCACTATAGCAGCAGATCACCGAGTGCTAACATCGGCGCCGGAGCGGCCAATCTGTTGAATACGGGTAGGCGCTGCTCGTCCGCTCCGGGTGAATTTAATTCCGGTTCGCTACTAAAAAATGAGCCCATGGAGGAGGTGGGTGATTGACTAAGACTGCACGGCGGGCTTGGACTATCCAACGATAAGGCAGGACTGAGAGCGGTCGGCCTGGGACGTGGTGGTTGACGTGCGGCTATTATCGCCGCCGAGGTTACGACGCGAACGGCTTCGTCTTGGTTGTGGACGAAGTGACATCGCGGACCGTACGGACAGAACCCGACCGTATGGTAGGTGCGGCACAATTCCGTTTTATACTTAGGGTGTCGAGCTAATGTGCGTAGCTCATTTGGACCGTGCGCAAATTGACACTTATCACCATATTTACACACTCCAAATTCTTCAAAAGGTCGACACAATTCTGTTTTATAACGCGACGTATTCACACTCGCGGCCGCCACCGCCGCCGTTGGTGACGGTGCAGACTGTGTACGCTCCAGGCGTCGGTGTTGTAAGGAGAGGTTCCCCAAGAGATTGGTAACTAGATTGGCTGTACTTGTTACGTTTGCAGGTGTCGAATTCATTCTGGATAAGGCATAGCGTACACGGCATGCATCCATTGCTTGAGCTCCTACTGCTAGATGTGCCCCCGTCGAAGGCTCCGAATTACCAGTGCCACCCTGCAATTAAAAAAAACAAACCGTTAGATTCTCATCTTCATACAGTTTAATCGTCATTAAATTACGGAAAATTTTCACGTCATTCCTATTGACAATTCGCGATAATTCAACCGCCCGCCAAAATTTGAAATATCAACGTTTTCAAGGAGTGTTGTGGAATAAGATAAATATAGAAATAAGTTTTGATACAGAAAACACCATTTTACAACCTTCGTAAGTACGATTAGATTAAAATTTCTATACGAACACCTCGAATTTCAATTCACCAACAACTTTTTGCCACCTGTAATGATGGCACTTTTCGTATCACGCGAAATTAATAAATATTTACGTAACACTTCCTTGTATTAAAAATAAAAACACTGTAATCCAATTTTTTCCGGTTGCTATCAGTTAATTACCGGTTCCGGTTCGTCCAATGTCAACATTTTCGAAAAAACCTCCCACTTTTTTTGGAAAAACGATCCTAATTGATTTTGTACGGAATAAAAATTACCATTTAGTTGCTAGGCCTGAAGGTGTTTGGAGTTAATTACGTTTAACTTTCGCTTTAGAATAAAAATTATTAATTTATATTTCAAAATAGCTATAAATTTGTTGTGGAAACAGGAATCGATTTCACTTGAATTTTTACCAAAAATTTCAATTGCACAACACCGCGCGCGTTTCGTGCAGCATGGTTTCGTCGCCACTTGGCGTTTTTGAAACGAACCCCCGGGATTCGCATCTGAAAAGCACTTTCATCTGTTTTGATGCACAAAACAATTGGTAAAAGTTCGTTCTCGAAGCCTACTTTCTCGTCGTGACAACCGCGGTAGGATGGGTAACGTGAAAGCTACCAGTGGGAGTGTGATTAGCATTTCTCTTTCTCCGCGATGGATAAACAACCCCGAGATGTTATTAAAAATTGACGCGGCGAAGATGGAGGACCAGCTAAACGTCCGGTTCTGCAAGACAGGTCCTTGAATGCTAATGGGACCTGTCTACCTGCTGCGTGCAGCAGGTAGAAAAGAGCGTGCACCGTTCGACCTAAACACATACACAAACTACCACGAATTTATATTTATAAAAACACCCACACGTAGATTGGAAAAACATCTACCTTCATAAGAAACTCGCCGAACTCGTACGTAGTATTTTGTCGCATTACTGCCGTCGACATAATATCCCACAATAACAAAAAAAGGAAAACAAAAGAACTAAGTGACACGACACTACTGCACTGCGAAAATTGGAAGACTCGCTGTATACGATGATAACGCTTGTATTACACTCCGTAAACGTAAAGAACAATTTTCGAAATATCGCGCTATTCCTACTCGCAGTCGTTTAGTGCTCCGCGCACGAAGTTCGATCCTACACTGAAAACTTGGTATGACGACGCGCAAAGCCACTATCGAAACTCGTCCCCACCAATCCTGGTGGTGGCCACAAAAACCAATCGCTAAAACTTTTGACGTCATGCCCGAACCCGACAATCTCAACGCTAGGTCCAAAGTCGTTTCTCTCGTTGAAGATAATTATATATCGTTTAGAATAACAGCCTTTTTAAATGTGAACCTTATGTTCCATTCGAATTAATTTAATTGACAAATTTAGTATCTCCAGCAAAACAAACGCGTAATCGACACGAAACGAAAGTGAATCTTTTCGACCATCACCAACACAAATTATAAAAGTACGAGATTAGGTATCGTAATTTCCGAGTAATAATAATACATTTATTAGTGATTCTGTCGGTATTTCCTCATAATCTGTTACGATTCTGGGATTCGAATATATCGGCTTCAAAACATTTACTATCGCTAAAACTTTTCCAGAATACTTCTGAAATTACAACCGTGACACATTTGGTGTGTTATCGCGATGATAAGACACAAAATGGAGAATTATGCTTAAAAATAGATACAGAGTCTTGTATTCAATTATAAATCAAAATTAACCGTTTATTCCAGAAGGTTCGAGATTAACCTCAGTGAAATTGTGTTAATTGCGCCCAGTAGTATGATCTTTGTTGCAGTTGACGGTCTAGCTCTAGGATCACATCACATTATTTTTAAAATGGAGAACAAATCTTAACTACAAAATATAAAATCGATGAACCATATCATTTTTTGTACATTTTTGGCTGCAACTTAACACTCACAAAATGGCATTTTTTTTAACATTTTTACATGCCACTGATTAACCATTAACTTATTGTCTATTAGTTTTGCTTTTTTTGCCTAACAAATTTTTTTAGTAGTTGTAGGTACAGTGTCCCAAATCGAGAGTGACCATACAACATCGATTGAATGGAGACACAGTTGCACAGAATGCTTAGAAAGTGAAGGAATTTTCAAAGAAAAAAACCGAAACTAGCTCATTTTTTTTATTATTTTTTTGTGAATTTATATGAAGAGATTTTTGAAACGAAATGACGCTTTCTTATTGCAACTTTTTTCCTCTACAAGCTGGCATTACATTTTAAGTCCCACGTTTCAGTTTTCTGGCAACATCATTAACTTCATTATAAAAAAATAAAAATACACACTTGTTTAGTCATTAAATACTACCACCCTATAATTGGAAATAAACCACATTTATTTTATTTATTTAGTTTATTTTTGACCTTTATTTTTAAGTGGGTGGGGTTTCACCAAAGACTGCTTTACCAACCCAACCCACTATGCATTTACAAATATCCATGCCCGGATTCGAACCAGGGACCCTTGGTACTGCAGTTGCACTTACACGCCACTGTGCCGGAGCCCGCATACGCATACCTATAATAAGGAAGCTATGAAAAACAAGCATTCGTGACCAATTATATTGCAATATTTATAAACTATTCGAGTTTCAATTGCAGTGCCACCATGCTCAGAAAAGCCCCGGAAAATATGCGAACTAATTTTGAAATAATTCAGGCTGGCCAATAGAAAGTCTGCAAAACGACGCGATACATTCCGCGCCATAATTATTAATTATTCCGTTTTGACAGTTGACGCTTTACGTTATTTTATAGCGCGTCCAAACCTCCAAATTCAGTATGGGCTCTTATCGAGTATACACCTCCTTTACTATCTTTAGCGATTCCCAAATAACACTATCCTTGTCCTACAAGGCAACGTTGTCAATTGTAAATTGTCATTTCATCAGTCGTCTGTCCCCTGCCACAATTATATTGCTCTTGTTTTTCTCCGTAATTTCTTAAATTCTCGTACCGCATTTATTAAAAAATCGTTCTTTTCAGAACGCATAAATCATTTACATTTTACAAGCGTTTTTAAGGTAATGATGGGTTTTCCTATGATTTTGTCACTGAGGTTAACTTTGTAGAGTAATTGTGATTGACAATGCTTCCTATCACAGCAGAAAGGTTGAGCAGATTCCAACAATGTCATGGCGAAAAGAACACATTATGAACTGGCTTATGGAGAAAGAAGTGCCCATCAAGGACAACATGTTGAAACGAGATTTACTTGCTGCAGTAGCTGAAGTGAAACCTCGATACGACAAGCACAAACTTGATGTTACAGCACAAGAAAGAGGTCATGAGATTCTTCGTTTGCCACCATATCATTGCGAATTAAATCCCATTGAAATGGTGTGGGCACAAGTAAAACACCATATTAAGATGAATAACACGACATTTAAGGTAAAGAACATACAAGAGTTAATCAAACTTGGTTATGAAAAAGTCACGATTGAAAACTGGCAACATTATATAAATCACTTAAAGAGCATTGAAAACAACATGTGGATAGCAGATAATCTTCAAGACGATATTCAAGCTTTTGTAATTAACGTTACGGAATCTTCTTCAGATGATGATCCAGAATACGAGTCCAGTGACAACTGATGAACAGATATAATATAAATTGTATTGGCAATGTTAAATTGTGATATAAACTATTAAATTTTCGTAAAATTTTGTTTTCTTTAATCTTTATCAGAGATATGGAGTAGCCCGAGTAAGCATGCATAATTTGTATTTTGAGATTAGGAGGTTAGGAAGTGTGGTTGTTATACCGTAAAAATCATCTACGGTAATATAAAACTATAGGCACTACATCAGTAACATATGTTTGGCAACCATGTACTGTTTTCCCATAAGCTCCATACTGAATTTGGAGGTTTGGACGCGCTATAGTTTACACTTTGCTTCTTGTATTTGCTTTATTTTACGTTTTCCGTCTCCAGTTTTATACAAACTCGTCTTTTTCAAGACGCATATAGCTTGGATCTACGATCTGATAAGGAATGTAATTCCCTTAAAGTGTTTTTAAATTTTGCATCAGAATGTACGGTTTAAATTTCTAGCGCCCTCGGACACGCCCTGTCAGGGACTTTCTCTGAGCGTGGTGCCACTGCACTTTTTACTGCTGAATTGTAGCAAAAAAAGATTGTTTTATTATAACAAAGGCAAATGATACGAATACATTTACTAAACATCGTAAATATTTTATTTCTTTTATTTTATAATGGCTACTCAACCCACTATACAATCAAAAACAGTGTAATGTAAACTCATCTGCGCCAAGGTTGGCAAAACGAAAAACCCAATTAAAAAACCCACCCAAAGACCTATACAAAAATCCAACACAAAAACCCATACAAAAGCCCAAAGAATTTGAGACACAAAATGAGACAAAATCGAGATAATTTTTATATAGTATTTAATAACAAAATATAATGTAGTTTACTTGGAAACAGACAGGTACTGATAGACCAGTCTTATATTCTTATTCCTAAGTTTCAAGAACATTTTACATTAAAATATAAAATACGAAACGGCTTTTTCATTAGAAACAAAAACAAAATAAAATATATTTCACTTGGAAACAGACAGGTACTGATAGATCAGTCTTTATATTCTTATTCCTAGTTTCAAAAAAATTTACATTAAAATATAAAATACAAAACGGCTTATTCATTAGGAACAAAATAAAATAAAAATAATAATTAAAAACCTAAAACAACTTTTTCTCTTTTTTAAAGTGACTCATTTTTATTATATTTACAAGCTTTTCTACTTTATCGGGCAGTCAAGTTCAAAATTAATGTTATTTTTCTATAATTTGAGGTTAGAGTTCCGGCAATTCGACAAATACCCAAAAATTACCCAAATACCCAAGAAAAACACAAATACCCAAAACCCCACCCAAAGCATACAAAAACCCAGATTTTTGCCAACCCTGAGTCTGAGCTACGCAGGGATTAGGGGTGTCTTTGGTTATAAAGTAGGTAATAATCTAGCCTAGAATTATATAAGCCCAAGTTACTTTTTTATTTTAAATTTTTGTTTTAGATGACGTTCAGGATACGTAGTTGGAAATTGCATTATTTTTATGATTTTCACTAAGAATTGGTAGCAATTTAGTTAATTTGTTGACTTTAACACATCAAAAAATTGTTGTTAAATCGACTTTTTTCTTTTATTTGTGTACTTAATTATCATAAAAATACCAGAAATAGACACAATGCGAGTTTAAACCTGGAACTATCACAATAAATCTTTTAGTAAACTTTTTTGAAAAAAATCCACGAACACGTCAATTTTTATCTTAAATGAGACATATTTTACTGTAATTGTCTTTTGTTTTTGAGATATGACGTAGGAGATAATTTTTATGCTGAATTTGGAAAGAGCATGAGATTCTAAGACCAAATACGCTAAAAAAGTGTGACCCCGTATTTCGAAATATTCGAGATAATTGCTTTAAAAGTTTTAAAACATTAATGATATGAATTATAATAATTATCGCTTACGTCATATCTCAAAAACAAAAGACGATCCTTAAGTGACAATTACAGTGAAGATCTATATCATTTAAGATACAAATTGACGTGTACCAGGATTTTTTCAAAAACGTTTACTAAACGATTTATTGTAATGCTTCCACACTTTACACTCGCACTGTATAGTATTCTTATTATAAATATTTTATATTTGCAGTGTGTCAATAATTTGCAATAAAAGTGGTGTATAGTGGCTACGTAGACAGTAATAGATTAAAAAGTGCAATTATAATTTATATGGATAAGCAATTCAATATTATGTACGTGTTTTAGGCTGTTTCATATGTTATTGAATTTTGCCGTTTCTACAACGTAATTCAAAAGATGTGGTCATAACTCAAAAATCGGATATTGGAAGATTAGTCTAAATCACCTCCCCTGGAGTGGAGTTGTTGACATCTATTGAATCACCCGGTATAACAAGGATAGTGCGACGTAGTGGAACGTGACATTTTTTTTTAATGTTGATTCGATCTTTATCAAAGAAAATGTATGTGAGTAAGTATATTGGGGTAATTTTATTTTGGACTTTTTATTTTGTGGAAATTTTTTATAATATCTATGGCAGCTGGTAACTTCCGTGTTTTATATACTTATATACGGCAATCATGAAATTTTGGAAATTGAGATAATTGGTTTTCTGAGGCGCATGCATGTTATTTGGTACCTTTTGACAGTTGACGTTATACCATACGAACTATCTACAAGAACAATAATTATATGCCCGATAACTATCATTCAAGTAGGTGAAGTGTCATTAACTCTCGAATTTTGGTTATTTGTTAAATATTTGTACCTACTTGACAGTATGATATTACTACATTAATAATGTTATCTTAACCAAAGTACCAGTTGCAACAGATATTAGTGCTTGCCGAAATATATAAACGTCTAAGTAATGCATATTTTGAATATTATTACGCTATATCTTCATAATCTACTACTACAGTTTTAATTGATATCATATGAACAATCTGCCATTAAAAGAAACGTAGGTATAGTATTTTCTCCAATACCTACCTTCGTAACATGAGTACATTGTTCCTTTATGAAAGCACCTTATCTCCTTCAAAATGTGATAATGATATCTTTATAGGTACACATTTTATATGATTACCTATCTCTCTCTAGTTAAACGTTGTAGGAGAACAAAACCATATTTACGTAACCTATTCAGAATTCTGCTAATTGGTAGGGACTTTTTCGATGTCTGATCCGTATACAAACTCGATGAAACCGACACTCAATTTTTGCTCAATCAGAAATTAGAGCAATGCCATCTCTACTGAAGCAGTTCGATGTAAGCAAAATAAGTACTAATTTTCTATTAATAAGAGTAGCAAAAATACCTATCCCACCGAGTAGAACATTATTGGGGATTTTCCAAGTGAAAAAAGTTAATTTAAAAACATTATCATCCAAGGAATTCATTGTGTTTTGCAAACCTTGATAAGTTGATATAATCGTCTCATTCTGTTTGAGTTAGATAAGCAACACTCAAGTGTCCATATTTTCTCGGGGTATCGTGAATATTACTAAAAAAAGAAAACCATTCGGTATCTTGAAGTGACTAATATTAATAAATAAATGTAGGTCCATATTATTTGTTGTTTTTTTTAAATTTTCTACGCTTCAATTTTAGATTCACAACTCCGCCTAACCTACTACTGTTTTGGCTGTGCTAATATTAGAACAGAAATAAATAAAAAACAATGTTAAGAAATAAAAAGTTTAATAATATACTCAGTGTGTAACTACAGAATCTAGAATTTACCAAAATACCAAAATAAGATAAAAACTTAATAATAAATTTTAAAAATACAGCAAAAACGCTTAGGAACACCAGTAAATAAGCCGCTTCATAAAACTTTATAAGGGAGATTAAACCGCCTGTATCAACGTTTAAAGAGATTTTGCCATAAATCGTAGGATAATTTCTAATCACACATAGAAGATGGGATGTACTATTAAAATCACGTGATTTTGAAGTTCAACGATCTAGGTTTCATTGATCAATCATAGTTGAGGTTTATGGCGCCAGTGTCTCTAGAAAAAAAGCGCTATGATTACGCAAAATAGATAACATCTGCAATCTGTGAATAAAATTTTCTCGCTCTCAACCAAATTCGTATTGGAATAGCTTAACTACGAGAAAGGTTAAAAGCGAATTTTTTATAGCTTCTCAAAGTCGGTAGTTGGCTTAAATTATAGTGAGTGAGAATCCTGTGCACGTGAAGACAGATACCTTTGTCGTACTGTATCGAAAAGCCACTATGACAAAAATTGTATGTTTTTTGAGTGCGCAAATAATTTAGTAACACAGATTTAGACATCTGACAATTAGATATGGATGAGTGTTCCATTAGATTTTCATTTAATAGTGTGAATGCTTTCTCCCAGTCGTCTGACCGCTCGCTCGATGGCTTCATGTCCATCGATTTAATAGAGAACGGATGGACCGATTACGAAGAAATTTTTCAGGTGGATTCTTTATCACATATGTAGATGGGAGTTCGTGAATTGGCAATGTAGGCCAAAAACTCGGAAGTGGGTACCGACAAAGGGAATATGGTAACCCCGACAAGATCTTACTGATGGTAGAATCAAAATTGGCAAATAGAATTCTAGTCTGCCACACAAAAATGCGTCCCTTCGATCTCACACGAGGACTTTGATCATTTTTGTCATCTCTGCCATTTACGAACCGATTTGCATGAAAATCAAACTGGGCATAGCCAGTAGCATATTATCAAATGTAATGACATACTGACACTTTTGAATGTATCGGCATTCGTCAGGGCTTACCTCGTGCGTGTTCTGATACATTCAAAAGTCCCGCTGCGCTAACAATTCGAAGCTCGGCATCTTTGCCGCAGGCGGAATCCATTGCATCTAATGTGATCTTCCGTTCTCAAGATGTCTGCAATAAAAGAGGTCTCTAATCAGAGAGGTCGGTTTCGAGGCTTTTTACATAGTACAGAATAAGCTTGCTACTAATTAAAAACTATGTAAAATAATTGATTTGGAATTCAGGAGTGATTCACCTTAATAAATAAAAATTTAATAAAACAAATA